TATATATATATATATATATATATATATATATATATATATATGCACTATACTTATATAGTACATTTATAATTTTGGGGGTATTATTTCAGCAGTTGCTTAGCAACAAGCTCAGAGGACATTACTGGTCACTGGCAATTTGTTTGTGCTCCTCGGTTCAGTTTTTAAAAGGATTAAAAATGTCAAATGTTAATTAGTTGGCTTTGGAGGTGCTGATAGAAGGATTTATTTCTTTCAAGGAGGGCCTGGTTATGTTAAGTTTTAATGCTAAGCTAAACTTAGCTAACAAATAATTTGCAAAGTGTCCCTTCTGTAACTGTTTGCAAGGAAGAAAAGCATTTGTAAACTTTATGGATACAAAAAAAATAAATTCTTCCAAATTTTTTACAAAATGGTGTTTTCTCTTTTAGCTGTAAAGTATGGCTCCTACATCACCTGCCTTGCTTATTAGAAGCAAAAACCTTGTGAGGTATTCATCAGGATATAGTCGAAACAGATTATAACCTCATAGTAGATTGCTTGTCGTTGTAATCCCAAATTTCTCTGAAACATAAAAATTCATTCCCTAAAATGTCAGAGCTTGCATCAGGAAAATATGATTTTATTCTTATAAAATTGTTTATCCCATCATTTCTGACGTGCCTGTTACATCACATCTGAGTAGTCTAAATTTACACAAGCTCGGACCAGATTTGATTATGTAACTAAATGTTGCTGAGAGAATAACTAATGTCTCAAACCATATTTTTTAAAGAACGCTGTGTGTCTGCTTTAAGCATGTGATAAAGCCACTGTTTGAGATGAGAGAAGAAAACTGTCTCTAAAGTAAATTCCCGACCATCATCTTGGGAAGTGACGCTGCATCCATTTAAGTTTCCAATGTATTTAATTAAACATTATCATCCAGGTTAGAGGTAATTACTTCAAGGAACGGAGCAGAACACTCAACCTTGTGGGGATTTTGACTTTCTAATTTGCCACACACGCTTCACACCGGTGTTGCATGTGCATCTGCACTGTTTACAACGTTAGACCATGTTTGACACTATTAGGTCTGTCAAATAGTCTCTATCTGAACCAAAACTATAGAAGAAAGTTTATTTATTTTAATGGATTTTTAGTGTATGAATGATTGAATGTATAGCCCACTGTATTTAAAGTTACCACGTAGTCTGCAGCATTATTATGACCCTG